CAAACTTTAACGAAAGTATGAAAATAAGCAATAATAACATTTGAATTAAACAATAAGGGAAGGCCGGGCACAGTGCACACCCCAGGCAAAACGGATACTCTCCATTATGAAAATTTTGACGACCTCCGTGGCCGAGTGGTTTCATGGTGTCGCCAACTCGAGAGGTCCCTTCAAATCCCGGTGGGGGCAGATGTTTGTGTGATGAATACGAGCATTTGTACTCCAGTTACGGATGTTTAATATGTATTTATATATAAATATACTTATATATGTACAGTATATGTATTCCATCCGTTACCCTAGTATCCCATAACACAAGCCTTACAGTGCTTACTTTGGGGCTAGGCTAATTGGTGTGAGTGTTGGAAATATTTATTTGTTATTACAAAACGGTGCTCCCAAGAATGCTCTCGTCCCTAAAAAGACCTTCCCCTAGGTACCTAAAAATATGGTTTTTATTTCACAGAATTGCGACATATAATTTGTAAAGTTTAAGTACTGCTTAAACGAAAAAAAAAACAAATTGCTTGCGTACGAAACTTTAAAATTAGTGTTAGCATTTGCTCGAACAGAGAGATGGCCTCTTGTCTACTGCTGTGTCATTGACTTAAGATACTTCTTCTGATGAATAGGGAAGGTAAATATTTATTATAAACATTTCTGAGACTGTATTTTCCACTTCTTATGACGTTAAATTAAGTACTCCAATTGGTAAATACCATACTTTGCAATTCATTGTAACATTTTCCCTGTAGTAGGTCCTCCTAATAAGAGCGATGATCTCTTGAGATTTATTACTTAATAGGAGTAAACTTCATTCAATTTTGTATTCGAGGGCGAGTGTTTACCGTCTAAAGTTACATACATACAACTACACTACTGCCTTAGTTTCGAAAGGTAGGTGTATACTAATAATAAGCTAAAAAAAGAAGTGCTGTTTTCTAAGTATTATTTGCATTACATAGGTAATTACAATACTGAAAGATTAGTAACAAAAATTTAATATTGTAATTGTGGTTGCATGATATTGTGATAACTTTATTCAGTATTAAATTTAAAAACTATATTTAAATATGATTCTTATTAATTCATTTTAAATTTCGAAATAGTGATACAAATTAACGAACTACATTACATACTGCCCAGAGCGTTACCACCGCTGGAGCTGCTGTAGTGTAAGCAACTCAAGTTTGGAGGATGCAAATAAGATGCCTGAAAAGCTAACTTATTCGCAATGTATGATTAGGATTAGGGCCTAAGTAGGTATTCTTTTTTAAGCTGAATACCATATTTTGTTGCATCTAGTACCACATCTAGTACGACAAAATACGTAACCGCTACTAACGATTTTGTGCTAGCACCTATATAGAAAAAAAGAAAAAATCATGTTCTTGTGCGATCAAAAGAAACTATCATTTAAAGAGTGCGAGAAATTATACACGATGAACATAATAATTATAGCGCGTGGCTAAGCACCTAATCTAAGAGCAAATCTTGTTGATATCTCAGCGAATTGGTTCATAATGTTATCGGGCACCACAAATATTAGCTTTGTTGTCGTTAGCAGCACTGGGTACTAGATGTTCGACCTTGTGCACAGAGTATAGTATCCATAAATTACCTGATACCAGCACCTCTACAAACATTTAACCATTGTTATTGAAAATAGTGCTGGTTCTATCGTTGCAGCGCGATGTACCTACAGACGTGGTAAAGCAGTTCCATACTAATCCTACTAATATTATAAATGTGAAAGTTTGTATATTACTCAATCAGGCCAAAACTACTGATACATAAAGTTTGTGACCTGGATTGAGACAAAGGATACTTTTTAACCCCAAAAAATGGAAGGTTCCTTAAGTTGCGCAACTTAAGTTTTTTGAGAACCCCGCTCTCAAAAAACTTAAATTAAATTAACTTAACGATGGACGAAGTCGCGGAGGTTCGCTCATCACACTAATATTAAAAAGGCGAAAGTTTGTGAGTGTGTACGTTACTTCTTCACGTGTTAACGGCTGGTGCGATTTTAATAATATTTCGTATGGAGTTAGCTGACACCCAGGATTAATACATAGGCTAAGTTTTACTGCGGGAAAATATCCCTAATAAACCGCGGTTAACACCGCTAGGCACAGCTAGTAAATCATAAATGTGAAAGTGTATCTGTCTTGTTTGAGGTGAAATCTATACATATAATAAATTATAGGAAAGTCAAAACTGTACATTGAATATTTTTTTAAAAGAATACTTGTGGTGTGATCTACAATCGATACCGAAGCCAAAAATATAGTTTTTAGAATTTTGTCCGTTTGTCTGTATGTATGTCCGGGATAAACTCAAAAAGAACTGCTTGGATTTACTTCAAATTTGGCACGAATATTATTAAGAAGTCGGGTCAACATAATAATATAGGCAACATATTATTTATCACGCTATCACCTACGGGGAACGAGCAATGAACCCTTTTGGGGTCAAAAAGTATATGCAAACAACTAACTAAACGCGTACGAAGTGGCCGGCGGCCGCTAGGGTGGGGAAAAAACTGTCAATATACAATTTGAGCCAAGAGAAAGGACATAAAGTGTTTATCCTGAAATTGTCCTGTAAGAGGGTGAAAAGGGGGATGGAAGTTTGTATGGGAAACCAATTACCACACGAAATCGCGGGTTTCTACAAGTAATTAAAAAAGTAAACATCTAGGAAATATTTGTACATTTGCTAACGTGGTATCTATTCTTGATCTTAATAACATTGGTATGGCGAGCTGGCAATGGAAGTTCGGGAACGGCCGAGTGTGCAGACCGTTGTAAAAAACAAACGCGCTATGACATTTTACGACAATTTATTATCAGAATAAATACGAAAATACTTTACATTTTATGACATTATTATTAAATTAAAAGATTAGAAAAATCACATTATATGAGTTACGAATTCATTGCTAAGGAAGTGACAGAACGTTTTGACAGCCAGAGACAGCTATTCTTAAAAAACTTGACATTATGTAAGGCTTATGGCTGTTTATATTTATAATGGAATGAATAGAATAAATAATATTTCTATCAGATCTCTATTCGTATCGCATTAAGTACTTATCGTATCGAACCTCGTGATGATACTTATTATTGAATAGTTCCAGTGGCCATCTATGTTCTTCATCATTAAGTCCGCAGCGTTTTCCGAGAATAATGGACGAGTTACTATAAAAAAATATCTCAACTACTATTGACATGCCTAGACTTTTTGAAAATTTTCCTCCTTTTAGTTCTATAGAATCCCATCATCAAATCTCGACCTGACAATCCGTGCGAACACCAGGAAAGTATACCCTTGCAAACAAGAAAAGAATTTTCCTAATCGGTTCAAGCGTCTTCGAGAAATCGGGTAATATAGGTACTTCCATACAAAATAATCCGACGAATTTAGAACCTCAGCCTAGTTTGAAGTCGGTGATATTATTTCATTTGATAATGAGACAAAAATAGTTCCTCACCAACTCCTTTAGCATGGTCCATAAGTAATATGTCCATAGTACCTACTTAGCTAAATACTACATTTTTTTAATACAGTTTTACAATAAAAATTGACTTTGTCCTATTTTGACTGGGTCGTACGGTCGTAACATAGTTTATCTTTTGGAAAAAGAGCGGCGAACAAATATGCCTGGTGGTGGTAGGCATTAGTGGTAAGCGGTCACAGTGCCTGTAGACGCTTGTAACGCCAGAGTATCACGAGTTGATATTAAGGTGAAACTACTTATTTCAAAATAAGGACGGATTTCATAATTTGAAAAAGCATACAGTTACGTAGATGGGTATCTTCGTTTTGACATACTTATTTATATTTTTGAGAATTACATTAAAATATTTAAATCTATAGAGACAATTTCATGTTCTTTTTTATAGATAGGTCCGACAAATGACTCCGCCTCACCTGATGTTAAGTGACGGTGAAGTCCAGACGTGAAGATAGCTGGTACAGTAGTTCTACCTGCCACGCCAGCTATCCTCACCTTGCTGGCCTGCATGATGCTTTTTCACGCCTCTTTTAAAGGATCCCAGGTTGTAAGAAGTAGGGAACACGTGAGCGGGCAGAGCATTCCATTTACAGATAGTGCGACAAAGAAATGAGACACCTTTCTTTATACGCGTTGGAGTTATGTACTATTTTTACGAGAAACCTATTTTAAAATAGTTTTATCTATTTTTGATCGATGGTTACAAAGACTAACCTTGTTGACAGAAATTTAAAAAAAAAACTCAATTTACTCGTAGTATAAACACAGTATTCAAATAGCTGCTTAAACAGAACGTGATCTCAACTTATTAGCACACATTATTATTTGTGAGTTGGTTAGCTAAGCTACAATCAATGGCTACATTAATTTAGGATGGATGGTCGGTTATATTTAAAATAATATATGATAAAAGTCACCCTAAGTGGTTATATTATAATATTAAAAGCTTCTAAGCACTACAAAGCCTCGATAGCACAAGCAGTGAAAAATATAGGTTCTAAGTGTCATCATAATTGTTGGCTTCACTTACCGTTTGTGATTACACCAATGAATTCATAATGCACTCTGCTAAATAGCTAGCCACATAAACATCTATCATTAACTATTATTGTATAAATGAAGATTCTTGAGGACATCGCATTTCATTCAAGCAATATGTTTGAATAAAGTAATGACCTTGTGCTAATAGATATGTGTACTTAGGTACATATATTAATACAAGATCTGATACTTTTATAGTAATACCTTCCTGTTATATGTTTTCTGGGAGGATTAATTAAAACTTTAAAAATAGGGAACTTTTTTTATGCAACTGATTGATTTGTAATTTTCGCTATCCTTTAACCATTGTTTGCCCTACTTTGCTACGCCTTGTATAAAATTGGATCATCATAAGATATCGATATGTTTTGTGTTGTTAGCTCTTCGTCACTTTCCAAGTTTTCGAAACCATCATATACAATTTTCTTTATTTGGTTTCCAGATCAGCTCAGGCACTGTCATGTCCGTCGTTGGACAATGGCGATAACTACACCCAGTCGGAGTTCCTGTCGCGGCTGGCCAACGAGTGCCGCTACGACCGGCTCCTGCTGCCAACCTATCTGACCGGTGAAGTGGTCTACGTTCACGCCAGTGCTTATGTGTACTTCATACAACCCGCTGAAGCGCATGACCTGGTCAGTTACGCAGCTATCTTCACGAATACTAACCAACGTTTATATGTATACCTACTTACACAAAAATAAAAAGATGAAAGTTTTTTATACTATAATATCATAAATATTTTTGAGACAGTAGGGCCATTTTAGGTAAGGTCCGTGTTAATAGAACTCAATTTCAAAAGATTATGAAGCTTCTATGCCTATTTGAATTTTTCATGTTCTATGGTCACACACGATAACCTAAACTTGTTAAAAAAGGAGATTGCTCAGCATCCATACATGTTTGGCCTAAAGACCAATAATCATGAAAAATTGTTTCCTAGATTCGAAATTATATATAAATTACTGTAGAAACGAATATTATTGACGGACACCCCTGAGAACTTCTATAAACCATATACACTGAACATATTAAAATAATAAAAAACAAATAAGTTATATAGTAAACTAGGGAAATTAAGCCAAGTACCGAAATTATGGATTAGATTCAGGTATATAGAGCATGTAGATTAACAGATAGTTGCCTGTTTTTAAAGTTAATGCATAAGAGTAACTTTTAAAATCAGGTGTCATTTCCGGTTATAATAAGGTACTACTCTGTGACTGTGTGATGATTGCAAAGACTTTATATAATACCTAGACTACTAGACTGTGCACGAAAAAAAATAGTTAATCTAAAGTAAGATTTATATCTGTAGTAATAGGATAGCTATTTTCTTGATAAGCGGTCTACCGATTTATCTACCTCACAATATGTGGGTCCCCCTTACCTTAATAAACATACTTTTAAGAGTACTTTCCCTTCAGGTGGCTGGCATTACAAAATTCCACCCTCTTTATCTAATCTCAGTCCAAGCCAAGCTACGCGTGCTAGTTTAAATACCGAATGAAACAGTTCATAGTACCTATGTATTATTATTTTTAAAACCTACATCACTTCGTTTGGTCTGCGTTTAGAGGTATATGCATAGACGAGGTTTTTCATATTAATTAACACTTAAATACATAGTCTAAATTACGTAAAAAAATAAGTTTTTGTCGATGTAACAGCAAAAAGAGGTGCCAAAGTCAGGTATTGGCATTTATGTTAAATTAATGGTAAGTCTGATGATACATTATTGTTTCTTAGGTTTTCACGCACATCACTCATTAAATAAAACTAGTCTTTCACGGGTTAATGCACGAAACTTTATTTATTTATTGACGTTTCGCAGCCTTTACAGGCCGCGTCGTCGGAATTTGTCATCATACAAAGACTTACAGTCCATCAAATCTAAGAAGTACCGTTTGACAGTTCTGACAAATTGAATAATAGGGATGGGTTTTAAAAATTCGATTACTATGATATCTGAATTTTAAGAGATCGATTACTATAATATCCGATTTTTAAGAGATCAATGACCATAAAATCCGAAATTTAAGATAATATTTCTCTGTACTCTTTTCCTATATTTTTAAGAGATCGATTACTATAATATCCGATTTTTAAGAGATCAATGACCATAAGATCCGAAATTTAAGATAATATTTCTCTGTACTCTTAATAAGTTATTGTAAAAGGTTGTTTATTGGTAAATTTAGGTTTTACTAGTAATCTGAGGATAGAATACCGAAAAAATCTTAAGGTTCTAAAGGTCGAAATCGAAGCATTTAAATAAAAGTAATGTTTAGGATATTTTTTTATTCACTGCAAGTACTGGAATCATTGTCGTCCTCGTCATCATCGTCATTTAAATTAATGACTAGTTGATTATCCATGAAATCATCGAATTTTACGTCTCTGTCGAAGTCGTCCATTATTATTTTCTTTATTTTTTCTACTACTTTTGACCAATTTTCTTGTGTAACTTGCGCACATGCTTCCTTTAATAAGCGTTCCATTTTCTTGACACTGAAGGGTGGTTTTGTGTTGTGTCTTGCTGCATAACCTGTAAAACAATTATATAATTATTAGGTGGGAGACTTTGACTATTTTTTAAATTATAAAAGCTAGAGGCACTCGTGTTATGTGGCTACAAAATGTGTTAAGCTAATCTTGCAATATTTTGTTAGGTAATGTACAATTTACACAACTGCGAAGAAGAAGGGTAATGTTTTATAGTATTACTGTACTTAACGGAAAATCTCAATTCACAATATATTTCAGCTTATTAAGAACAAGTTTCTGTTAATAATATAATCAACTACAAAAAAATATTATTATATTATACCTTTAACTTGGGCCCAAATCAGTTCAATGGCATTATATTGGCAATGGTACGGAGGAAGTCGTATGACTTTGTGCCCGTATTCTTCGGCTAATTGGTCAATAGCATAAGTCGGTCTTGATGGTTTATGCAATTTCACTAAATGTAACAATTCAGCTTTTAATAGTGACATGTCGGCTTCCACTCCTTTTCTTTGCAGCCATGCCACCAAATCTGCTTTCTTATTGGCTGATGTTGGTGCTTTATCAATTTGCACAGAGTAGTATGGGGCATTATCCATTATAATTGTGCTGTTAGGAGGGATATTCGTTAGTAAATTTAAGAACCACTCTTGGAACCTTTCCGCGTCCATTTCTTCATGATACTCTTTTGTGCTTTTAGATTGGAAAGCTAATAATGAATTTTCCACGAAACCTGCAGACGCTGATCCAGCATGGCATATAATGAGGCGTCCACCTTTCCCTATCGGCACTTTCGAGCACGAAGCTTCAGAATCATCTGTCCATGTTTTCGGCACAGAGTGGTTGGAATTTAGCCATGTTTCGTCCAAAAATATTACATTATCCCAGTTTATAATTTGTTTTACTTCGCGCAGGAATGTTAGTCGCTGCATAATTATGTCATGTCGCTCCATAACAATTTTTCGTTTGTCAACTTTTTTGTATCTGAAGCCAATTCCTGTTATTATCGTTCTCAACGACTCTATGCTTCCCTTGTACAGCCCGGCATCTTCTAAAGTTGCACATAACTTTGCCAATGTTGGAAATTCGCCTCTTGTAAAATAACCATAGATATGGTTTCTAATAGCATGGCTATCGAAGTCATCGATACCTGTCACAGGTTTAGTTCTTTTCCTTTTTTTCGGCGTGTGAAGTACGTTACTGTCACTCCCCGAAGGCCCATATTTTTCGCTTAATATTTTGCCGACGGTGCGGCTACCAATACCGAGAGCTTCACCGACGCGATCCCGAACTTGTGTAACTGGCAGTAGAGCTCCACCATTTTGACATTCACGCTCAAAATACTCGTGTAATTTCACCACCAATTCACGAGCCTGGCTGTTCAAAGTACGTCCTCTTTTCGACATTATTAATAAACACTTGCTTAGTTCAGAGTCCAGAAAAGTAATAGCCAAGTCACAAATTGTAAAACACAAACGAGAAAGTAGGTACGCGCACAGTCAGCTTCCAAGATGGCGAGAGACTGCTGACGCGGGCGAGGGGGACCGCGTGCGATTGTGGTCGGCAGTGTTGTCTGATAAAAAAAAATTTTTTTCTGGAGCTATTTCGCCTATATAGATTTGTTTGAAAATAATTAAATTAAATTATTTTAGGGTACCTATGTATTAAATGCATTATGCGATCGAGCAGTAACGTGAAATTATACAAAAATTAAATTGCGCTCTACCCCTAAACATTACGTCGAAAATTCGCTTTCTGGCCGTGGTCTGACATTGGCTATAAGCGCTTCTAGCGCTTACAACATCGTAATCTGAGTAGATTATGGACCGAGGCATCAAATTTGATCATTTTGTCATCTGTCATGTATTTTTACAAAGTCGTTAATTGATAATTTGAAAGTAATAAATTCGATTTTCCGAATAATGTACACGATTTTTTCGTACACAATTGATTCCGAAGAGTCGCAACACTACGAGCAGTGACCTAACTATGTGACTTTGCAATGAGGTCAAGAATAGAACTATTAGAACTTATTTATTGTGTAAATATTGTTTATTTTGCATTGTTTGAAAGTTTTCAATTAAATTTAGATATTAAGAATTGTACATTTTTAGATCCAATAATAAAACCTTTATAAATTCATGGTTTTACGAAAAAGGTTATCGAATTTGAATAAGTTACGCTTAAACAAAGTTATATCTGTTTGAAAAACATGAAACGTCAAAGGGTACTTCTTAAATTTGATGGACTGTAGTGTATTTTTTTATTACACTAAGTCTTTGTATGATGCACTTAGCAAGTTAAAAAATACGCCATGTAGTTTTTATTTTACTCATAATCACAAATTACTTACATGTTTAAGCAGTAGCAGATACTAAACACAATACTCTTTACAAGCTATATTAAATAACAAATACTAATAACAAATTTTGTCCCGCGTTACGCTTGAATATGGTCACTTCATTAGAAAGGAACACACTACCATTGGAAGCCCTCTCGCCCGGACCGTTTTTAACGCGATGGTGCACAGTCTAGGTATTATATAAAGTCTTTGGATGATTGTGAATGAGCCACAGATTAGAGAGAATTTTTAAACTCTCGTTAACCAAAGAAAGCTAAGAGATTTAGGTTCTATAGCCATATATTCAGTAGCTTCATTATTTTTTTTAATGTTTTTAAGATAACCATATTTTAGATTTTTAGTGTATCACACCTTATAATTTTATTTATTTATTAATTTATAGTCAGGGAACGTAGGCCCATAGATAGATACCTTAAAGTCTAACATAAATACAGATTATAATGTGTTTATGGAGGTGTTTGGCGAAAAATGTATGGCAATAGACTTTATGCTGTCGCCTACCATCTATAATAATTGTCTGAGCACATTTGCATCTTGTAAAAATGATAATATAGTTGTGGATATTAATACCACAGTGTAATAAAAAAATGATAAATTTTATCGATCTTTACAAAATAGATTTGTTTTATGTTATAGAAACAACTTCGATCAGTCTTTGGCTGAATGTTACTACACCCATAGCCATTAAAAATGATTCGTATGTTGTCCAAACCGGTAAAATTAAAAGTCCTTTTTAAAATCTAATGACTGTAAATTAAATTATAAATTACGCCAAGAATTACCGTGTATGTCAATATTTTTTGTGCATTTAGGCCAATTTGAGCAATCTCCTTTAATTCTTGACAAATGTTTCATTAAATTATTGGTGTGTTTGGGAATATATGAACTTACCTAATTATTATTTATATTGTGTAAGTACTTGCAATGAGTATAGTTGGAATAACAACTATAACATCTGCTGGGGTGGGATCATTTGCTAGGCCTTCAGTAATGTGGAATGCATAGCGATGTTTAAACTGAAACTTTTTAATTTCAGAATTTCAAGTTGCATTTCCTGCTCCAACTTCGTTGGACTGATCGACGGTTAGCATATGACTTATATTCACCGGAAAGATCTAAAATAATTGGTGAAAGCGACTTGCGGCAACGCGTTTGGGTGCCACATCTTTATATGTCTAACGAGCAGTCTTCGAGCCTGATGGGTACTGATAGCAAAGATGTCCTTATCTCTATAGCACCCGATGGAGAAGTTATGTTTAGCCGTCGTATGCAAGCAGTTTTATACTGTTGGATGAATTTGCAAAAGTTCCCTTTCGACGATCAGACATGTTCAATGAACCTAGAAAGTTGTGAGTAACTAGTATTTTTGCCTTCTATTTATTTTCGTTAGCTTTGTCAATTGTCATTAACTCAATAAACACATACATAGTCACAATCACAACTTATTCTCAGAGGCAGAGATCATTTCCTGTCACTCGCTATTAACATATTTCTTTCGCGTTATATATCTTCTTGTCCTTAATATGTATATTCTTCTTCAAAATGTTGTCGATTTGTTGGACAAACGTTCGCCTTGGTCTTTTCTGTCCCGCATCTTCACTCATATCCGATTCATACATATATACACCTTTAATAATCTCTTATTATTCATTTTTCGACATGGCTATTCCACCTCATAAAATCTCTTCTTCTCATAAAATATTAGATTTATGTTTTCCTGTCCTCCTCAATGCTTACCTTTTTACAGTATTTTTACATCTTTAATGTTTCTTTTCACATACCCAAATTTCACCCATACGCCATCCACAACCAATTCTTTCTATCAACTTTTTCGATATCAAGTGCCTCAGTGTTATTATCCTAAACATATTATTGTTTCCAAGATCGTAACACACTAGTCCATGGGTCAACAATTTTCGAAAAAGGTTGTTGCTCACCCGATGTGTAGGTAGATGACACCTTCCACGCTGTTTTTCTGCTCACGCAATCATAGGCATTTTCCATATCTATAAATGTACAAAATACTACTTGGCTTTTTACCAGAAATATTTGAATTATAAAAGGAAAAGGCCTTATCCATGCTAACTGTGTAATATAATATTACACAATGTGATATATTACTAATATATCACATTCAATTGAGGATTACGACTTCTGACGCAAAACTAAAAGAAGAATTTATCTGCGATAAAAAACAGAAAATTAATAACTAAGAATTACTTATTTCAGGGAAATATAACGCGTCCTTTTTGCGACTCATGTGGGAGAGGGACAATCCTGTCCGCTTGTCCTCGGAATTGCACTTGACCGAATACTCACTCATCGATTACTGGACCAATGAATCAGTCGTACGGGGGGATATTGTAAACATGCACTTGGGCGGAGGTAGATGTAATGTCACTTTCTAAGCTTATGACGTTCATTTAATTATATTATTGGAGCTTTGTGAAGTCATAATTTTTAAGCACTGATACTACATTTAAAAGAAAAAAAAGAAGACTATGTACAATTATTACTACTGATGTTCAATTCAGTAAATAACTATCAACACAGAATTAGTTGACTTCACATTATTTCAGGCTCCTGTATTTGATATTTTAAATAAAGAGGGTATTTCTTAATTTTTTAGCTGGGGATTACAGCGCCCTCAAGTTCACATTCAAACTGGGTAGAGAGGTGGGTTACTACCTCATGGATTACTTTATACCTTCCATGATGATAGTCGCTATGTCATGGGTCACATTTTGGCTTCAAGCAGATGCATCTGCTCCCAGAGTCACATTAGGTAAATATATCTTCATTCTATCAGTTTATGTTTCTTATTTAAAATAAATTAGTTTTATACATCGCCATACTAAGATTTAATATTTAGCAAGAGTGAATCAGATTCCTTATCTATCTAAGTACAGGCTATAAACATTTTAAATATGGGAACCACTTTGTATCTCTTGCTCTTGACACCATCTTTACTAATTATTTCTTCATAATATTTCAGGTACAGCTACTATGTTATCCTTCATAACTTTGGCGTCTTCTCAAGCGAAAACGCTTCCTAAAGTATCGTATATAAAGGCCAGTGAAATCTGGTTTCTGGCGTGCACTGGATTCATCTTCTCAGCTCTCGTGGAGTTCGCTTTCGTTAACACGATTTGGCGCAGGAAGTAAGTTTACTCTTTAATTATTTTTAAATATTCCCGAATAATCTTCTTTCATTCCAGTAGTGAAATTATAATATAGTTACTTACATACTAACTCAATCACATGATTTTATACGTCATTCGATCTATGGACTAGATCGAATAACGCTGGTATTATATTCTCGCGTTTGATTTAGGAATTATCACTGAATGCGGTAAATAACAGGCTTATCTAAAAGAAGATTTTTATTTATTTTTTATACTCTAGAACTAATTACACCTCCCAGTCAAACTCTCTTAATTTTTGCTGATTGGCTAAAGATGTGTGAGGTCTAGCATTATCATGATAAAAAATCCACACCCCTTTTGTTGGCTGCTTTCTCTCAACTTCTTGTTTTAATCTCATCATAGTAGAGTTCAGAATCGATGGTCCTGCCTGGCGGTAACAGCTCATAATGAATAATGCCCTTCCAATCCCACCATACACACAGCATCACCTTGTTGCGAGTTAACCCGAGTTTCGCGAGTCTGTGAAGCCTGACCGGCCTTTGACCACGACCTTTTAAGAACGTGAAAACGTGTCTTTTGGTACGTGATTCACTTTACGTCACCAGGTATCAGCTTCTTCAAAAATGGTTCGGTTTCATTACGTCGTAATAAATAATCACAAATGAGTACACGGTTCATTAGGTTTCTTTCAGTGAGCTTGTGAGGCACCCAATTATCGAGCTTTTTTGTGTACCTAGCTTGTTTGAAATGCGCCAAAACTGTTATGTGGTCAATTGTCAGTTCTTCAGCTACGTCGTAACTACTTACATGCGGGACTTGCTCCCCCAGGGTGGGCGGGCGGTGGGAGGGCGACCAGAGTGACGTGCATCTTGGATATCAAAATTTCCGGATTGAAAACGCTTAAAACAAATTCGTGCTACTCTCATAGACACTGCACTAGGTCCATAAATATCACAATTTTTTCCGCGGCATGCGTTGCAAGTTTACCATTTTTGTAGTAAAATTTTAAATGTATCTATTTTTTTTCCTAAATGGCTTCGCACGGCTTGTGCATTTAGCCAATGTCAAGTGTTAAATGTTTACAAATTCTATAGCACTCGTGGTCAAAGTCATAAATCAAGTCAAAGTAAGTGGCAGTCAAGTCAATCCCCCTTTCCCTATGTTTCAGTAAATGTGTGGGGATTTACTGGAACCTCCCCGTGGACTTCTTGAGGGAACGTCGAAAGACACTTTCCGCTATTTTGTTTCACTTGCCAACACCTGTGCATGTTCCCGAATACTTATTGGTTAATAATCCACCATTATTAGACACTAAAATCCGCCACAACACAATTTTTAACAAGAAAAATAAAACTGCTTTCCGATCCCGCCAAAAAGTCCTATTGTATCAAAGGAGATTGTTCAAATTGGCCCAAATGCACAAAAAATATTGACATACACGGTAATTCTTGGCGTAATTTATAATTTAATTTACACTAATTAGATTTCAACGGACACCTTTGTATAATATATTTACTTTAAAAAGGACTTTTAATTTTACCGGTTTGGAAAACATACGAATCATTTTTAATGGCTATGGGTGTAGTAACATTCAGCCAGACTAATCGAAGTTGTTTAAATAACATGAAAACAAATCTATTTTGTAAAGATCGATAAAATAAATCAGTTTTTTTATTACACTGTGGTATTAATATCCACAACTATATTATCATTTTCACTAGATGCAAATGTGCTCAGACAATTATTATAGATGGTAGGCGACATCATAAAGTCTATTGCCATACATTTTTCGCCAAACACCTCCTTAAACACATTATAATCTGTATATATGTTAGACTTTAAGGTATGGGAGCTATGGGCCTACGTTCCCTGACTATAAATTAATAAATAAATAAAATTATAAGGTGTGATACACTAAAAATCTAAAACATGGTTATCTTAAAAACATAACAAAAATAATGAAGCTACTGAATATATGGCTATAGAACCTAAATCTCTAAGCTTTCTTTGGTTAACGAGAGTTTAAAAAATCTCTCTAATCTGTGGCTCATTCTGATCATCACACAGTTTCTTACACAGAGTACCTTATTACAACCGGAAATGACACCTGATTTTAAAAGTTACTCTTATGCATTAACTTTAAAAACAGGCAACTATCTGTTAATCTACATGCTCTATATACCTGAAACTTATCCATAATTTCGGTACTTGGCTTGATTTCCCTAGTTTACTATATAACTTATTTGTTTTTTATTATTTTAATATGTTCAGTGTATATGGTTTATAGAAGTTCTCAGGGGTGTCGTCAATAATATTCGTTTCTACAGTAATTTATATATAATTTCGAATCTAGGAAACAATTTTTCATGATAATTGGTCTTTAGGCCAAACATGTATGGAAACTGAGCAATCTCCTTTTTTTTTTTTTTTTTTTTTTTTAATGGCACGACACGATTTGTGCATTCCCAGTGTCAAAGGTAGGGAAACATTAGTAGGAAATTTATGCATTTTAGATCGGAATTTAGAGGATAGGATCAGGAGACAGAATTGGTATATTTATATAAATATACATACATAAAATACGAATAGAGATGATTACACTCTAATATTATTTAACATTATGAAAGATGCTATACATTTATAAATCTGTAAATTATTAGAGAAGAGTAGGGTTATTACGGATGTTGGAAAAGGAACATCTAAAGAAATGAGGCCATTTAAAAAAATATATCGATTGTATAGAGGGCAGGAAAACAGGATGTGGTTAAGATCCCCTGTGTCCATTCCGCACCCGCAAGCAGGATCGCTGACAATTCCAAGCTTAGAGAGATGTGCTGGTGTAGTAACATGTCCAAGTCTCATGCGCGTTAATATGCTAGTAGCAGTCTTACCAAGTTTAGCTTTACGAAACCATGGCTTTAAAGGAATAGTAGGTTGTATTGTAAAATAGTATTTTCCTTTTATTTGTGCACTACTTGTCCAACTTGTAAGTCATTCACTTCGCAAATCGCACAATGGTAGAGATAGCAAGTCCTGGCTATAACATTTATAAGGAACCACGTCACCACAATGCACTGCCTCTTTGGCTAACTGGTCGGATTTTTCATTTCCTTGAATTCCACTGTGACTCGGGAGCCATGCAAACTCTACCATGTATCCCATTTTCATGAATTTATTTAGAAAATTCCTTATCTCAAATATTACAGGAAAATATGATTTAGTACGGAAAGGGAATTTATTTAGGGCTTGAAGAGCACTCATTGAATCGGAAAATATTACAGTTTTTCGCAGTTTCATAACAAAGATATATTCAACAGCCTTTAATAAACCAATACATTCTCCGGTAAAAACAGATGTCTCCGGAGGAAGTTTAGTTTTTTGGACAATAGAAAACTGAGAGTGGAATACTCCTACACCTGTACACTCAGACGGAGAGGACTTAGAAGCATCAGTGAATATATGATGAAAGTCGTCATATTCAGTATCTATAATTGATTTGAAGGTTATACTTGGGTGTGCATGGTTTTTATCAATTAAATCATATTGAATAGTTGGTGCTATTTCTAAGGCATCATAATCAATAGTAAAAATGGGAAGATGGTTTGATCGGTGTATAGGTGATTGTATACTTATATACTTTCGATAACTAACTATCAAACATGGGAGAGATTTATGTGCCCAGTAACTTGCTGATGTTATTTCTTCATTCAAAGAACAAAGTAGATTTATAAGAGGATGCTTGGAAAATTGAAGTAAACGGAATAGATATCTGTCAGCAAGAAGTTGTCGTCTAATGTTAAGTGGGGGTTCACAAGTTTCAATTTGCAATGCATTAATTGGGCTGGATCTCATAGCACCAGTTATTATTCGTAACGCTTTCGACTGAACGTTATCTAGCTTTTTCAGTGCAGTAGAATTGGCAGGTTCTAGGAGAAAACTTCCGTAGTCCAGTACACTTCGGATTAATGCATTATACACTAGTTTTAAGGATTGCGGATGGGCCCCCCACCAAACTCCTGAAAGACATCGGAGAAGATTTAAAAGTCGTTCAGTTTTACTTATAATAAAATCACAATGTGCACTACCGGTAAGTTTGGAATCCAACACGACTCCCAGAAATTTTACTTGGGGTTCAATGGGAATTAATATATTATTATAATAAATTCTAACGGGAGGGGGATTCTTCTTTCGTGAGAATATTACAATAGTACTCTTTGAAGCAGATAATTCTAGACCGTTATCGTTCATCCAAGAACTCAAAGAACGTAAAGCTGAGTTAATATGCAAAGAAGAATTATCTATGTGACGGTTTGTAGAATAAATCAATAGATCATCAGCGTATTGCAACAACTTAATATTATTTTCAAATAAAGTGTCAAAATCGTGAGTATATACACTGTAAAGTAAAGGACTAAGAACTGATCCCTGGGGCAAGCCTCTCCATACAGTTCTTTGTATTTCAAGACTATTCGGTAAGCTAATTATTAATTTTCGTTCGGCTAGTATATTCATAATAAAATTTGTTAACATTTGAGGAACCTCTAGTATCTCTAGTTTACTTTTCAAAACTGATAATAATACGTGATCATATGCAGAATTTATATCCAAAAATGCTGCTACTACGGATTCGTTATATGTGAAAGCCAGACGAATGTCAGTTGATAAAATACTTAAATTGTCCATTGTACTTTTTCCTAATCCATTCTATCTTCTCTAATAGTATGATAACCATTAATTTTAAAATTTCTTTGAGATGTAAGCCATGTTTCAGACAAGGCTAAAACAGAAGGCTCTAATTTATTTATTAAATGAATAATTTCATTTTTTTGGCTTAGGGCACTACGGCAGTTCCACTGTATTATCTTGTCTGTTTGTCTGTCCATTGATGAATTGAATGTTATTTTTAGTAATCTGAGCAGCGTTGGACGGTGGAAGGATATTGAATTGAGTAAACACATTGAAGAGAGCATTAATAAAATCAGGAGGGAGTTGATTCACTGAGGATGTTCTGTCATCACTTGTACTAAGACCACAGCCATTGTTAGGGGTAGGAATTGCAAATTCCTTCAATATAGTATTATGGGCTATGGTATCATAGCCTTTTGAAAATGCAGGCATATTACGCGGTTTCTTAAAAATAGTTTTTTTATAAGATGTTGTGTGGTTTATGTTACTATTAGATAAATTACTAATCATAGGTTCATTTACTATTTTTGTGGAAGGGGTCATTAAAGTATCAGCATAGGACCTAGATATGGGTGGAAGTAATTTTGATGCTTCTGCGTATGATACACAGTTTTGTGCCATGTATAATTTTATTTGGGATTGCCTAACATATTCCGGACAGGATTTATTATTGGCGTAGTGATGCCCATCACACCAGCAGCAGAGCGCATCTTCCTCTGTGATATTGCATGAGTCACCTGTATGATTTTGACCACATTTAAAACATCTAGGTTTAGATCTACATTGAACTTTAGTATGTCCGAAACGGCAGCAGTGATAACATTGGATTGTAGGAAATATATACAGATCCACATTGAGTGCATTGTAACACATGAAAATTCGTTTTGGTAAAATTTGGCCATCAAAGGTTAAAACTATAGTTTGGGATGGCTTCCAGGTAGGAGTTCCATCTACAAAGGATTTATAATTTAGTCTCCTTACTTTCAGAATTTCACCACAACCTATGGGAACAGAAATATTACTTTTAACTTCCTCCAGAGACCACTCTGCAGGGACACCTCTAACTAAACCCATTCGTGTAATGTTAAATGTTGGAATATATGCTTTTAAATTATTTTTTGACCAACTACTATGATTGATGAAATTATTTGCATCAGTAAATTTTGAGAACGAAACTTGCATTTTATTTCGCCCAATCTTTTTTACACTTCCATTAATTATATTGTAAAAAGAGTTTTGTTTGAGAAATTTACCAAACGACATGGGATGCATTGTGATTCCGTCTGATGATGAATCTTGCTCTCTCTGTACATGCACTACAAAAGGTGAAGCATCGGTTTTGTCATAAAACTTCCTACCTATAGGAATCAGTACTGGGGAGGGTATGGACACAGGAGAAGTTTTAGAGTCATTGACACTCAGGCTATTTGATTCTTGTTGGACTGGCGTTGCGGTGGATTCATAGCAACTGCAATCTGTAACTTTAGGTTCTGACGAGGAATGTTTGCGCCTTTTTTTGTTGCAATGTTTGCAAACATGGAGCCGGCTCCGTTTTAATGTGCGACTGGACATGGAACCATCTGTTTCCATACCAGATTCATTATTTGAAGTAATGGTAACAAAATTACTAGCCGGGGGGACACATCCCCCCGGCTCCGGGGGGACGTTCATACAACTATAAGATAATAATCAAATTTTGACTTACCAAGGCAGCAGGGACAATAAATAAAGAAATACACTAAATATATATACAATATTAATAAACAAACCTATCCGCTGATCACTATTTTAACTTCTATTAAGTAAATATTTTCAGATGCCAAAAGAACGCGTCCGCCAAGTTGGAAGTTTCCCGCGCTTTTCAGCAATCTCCTTTCTTTATTAGATTCACTCATCTTGACAGTACGAAAAACAAATGAAAATCACTAATTTTTCTAATTTGAATTTGGAATTATCTTCTTTACAATTTAAACTTTTTAATGATATCAAAACCAGCCAGATACAAATGGTATAGCCAAAGAGATTTTATTACAAGTTTATACTATAATGCAAAAAATACTTTTTCCCCAACCTAACTATTATTATATATGCAAACGCAGATTGATGAACATTCTATGATAAGAAATGAATTCATCTTACAGAATGACAGGTAAATTTAATCGGGTATAATCGCGCGCGGTAGGTTTTCTTTTGCAAGGACGTATACATTTTGAGAAACTAAAGCGCACGTGCGCGTTTTCTGTCTGTGATCGAAGAAGTTAAGCCACTTTCGCAATAGCCAGTCATAGAATGGGTGACCAAATCTTTAGTATCGCATCTCCGTGCTTCGCAAAAACCTTAGTCCCGCCTATACTTGCAGTTGTTAGCATAGAAATCTCGTTGTCAATTAGTCTGTGGAATTATTATTCACCATTAAGATGACTGTAGAATCAAAATAACACGATTCTATTATATCTTTTATATAATGAGTACGCTCAACGCAATACACACCAAAGCACGACATAGCATGCTGACTCTACACTGTGGCCTATGGGCCTGTAAAATGTCGGCGGCTTCCTTACAGCTTACACGCTCAGTTGCGAGGCGACACAAAAATAAATAGCACATCTCGTGCCATCGGCAAAGATTTAAGGTTAAAATTAGTTAAGCAACCAACTAGCCCGTCGGCAAAAAAAATACAGAGATCAGTCACCGGATCGACGTCTTTGAGGTCTTTGTAGTACACAACAAAGTCGTCGATCCACCGACTGTTTGCGCATCACTTCGACAAGGCAAGGTAATCCAATGTGGCGGGTGCCTCTGGCTGGCTGCATAAGCTGCAACTATACTCCATTTAAAAAATATACGATGTTTTTTGTAGCGAAATACCTACAACATAGAAAGTAACTAGTGTGGAAAGATTACTTAAATGATATAGTGTTTCACTGTATTCAAAAATCTAATAACGAATCCTTTTACGTTTTACAGGAAAGTGGTCAATTTGAAAAAGGTCAACAGTAAATATATATTGAAGAGCACTCTAACGCCACGGCTCGCTCGCAAAGAGATGCAGAAGGAGCTGCAAAATTCATCACCACAACTTACCAAATCGAGATCCTGCTCATCGCTGAACCAAAACCACAGCACGGACCCGGCAGGACCTGCCTACAACAACTACCTTACAGTCCACGTGAGTTGTAGCATTATATAGAAATTCAAATAAGTCAAGGCCATACTATTACCTCTTATTAAATCTTCGATTCAAACAGATCTACCAGGACCGGATTTAAGGCAGGGCAGGCGGGGATGTGGCACAAAAGATGGCTCTCCAAAAGAGACATTAAAAATCACTAGGGAAATGAGGAGGGGGAACGGGGTGCAAAGCGTAAGTGACCCGCGATGCTAGATCTTAAAACTCCTTCGTTGCCCCTGAGATTGCCACAGTTCTAAATCCGGCCTTTGAGATCTGCACTTTAGTTATTATCACACTTTTACGTTAAGTAATCTGTGAAATGAAAAGAATAACGATATCTGCATTATGAGTTTATGTTACATTCCACGATCCGTTATTTTTTTAGTTATTATTTATTAGTTATAAAATAATTTAAAACCTAAATAGAAAAGTAGCAATTTGCTTATCTAGAGTAGCTGATATAATACAATATCTGGAAGAAACGCGTGGGTTCATTTTATCGTATTTACTATGCTGCTTCACTGTGGTTGTGGCAAAGAAACTACATCACGTGACGTAAACAATTAAACCACAATTTAAACACCACAACGATAAGATTAAATACTTTGGTACACATAAACTTTAAGATACGTACGTAACTGATGTAGATTTTAAGCTAAAAATATTTTTTATTTATGTGTTCGTATGTTTATATTAAAATAAATGCCACGGGAATTGTTATGTCACTGGCATTTCATTGTTATTAATCTGCCATCCATCATTAACAGTTATCAGGGTACCGCATACTTCTTCTAAAAGCACTGATGTTGATTTTCTTTGCTATCAGATACATAATTTGGCGATGGTTTATGTCCTACTTGTCTATTAGAGTATCATGGAAAATAAAATTGTAGCACATGAACACTTACAAACCAGGAATAGGTATTATTATTATTACCCTCCCTGCAACATTTGGCTTTCTTTCGGTGTAAGACTTCCTTAACATATGTAGATATTTTATGGACAAGTTTTGAAGAGTCCACCACAATGAATCCATTAGTAGGTATGTAAGTAAAGTCTTGGATTCGAATCCCTGATAACATTCATAACTATATGTATCGTTGAATGATTTCTATCCGTATCCCATAACACAAGCCTTAGGTATAGTGCTTATTCGGGGCTAAGTTCATTGTGCGGCTTAGAGAGTATCGCCCTGCCAATTTCGCCGGGCCCTGAGTTTTACTAATTGAGTAGGGGGAGTCGTCACATATCCTCTTTGCCAGCTCCGATGACGCCTTTCCAAGCCAAAAAGACTAATAAATATTTCAAACACTCACACCAATTACCCTAGCCCTAAAATAAGCATACATGCTTCTGTTATGGGATACTAGGGTAACGGATAGAATATATATCTATGTACATTTATCTAGAAATACATATGAATATCCATGAGTTAGGTCTGGTACAAATGCTCGTATTCATCATACAAATGGCACCGGGAAGCCGAGACGTCTGAGTTGGCGACATCTTGAAAATCCGGCGTAAATACCACTCGCGCCGCGGAGGTCGTCAAATAGAGGCTATATAGGTTAATTGTAAAAAAATGTGTTACAGAGTTTCCCTTCGACATTGAATCTACCAACCATAACGACTCAGAGCTTCGACGACCTGATCACGAGTCAGGGCATGAACAAGCAGCACCACGACGACAGCGAAGACTCGGAGCCACCGACGCACCACACGTGGACCACCATGACGCCGCAGGAGATCGCCACGTGGATAGACAAACGCTCCCGGGTCATGTTCCCGTTGCTCTTCATCTTCTTCAACATCATATACTGGACTTTCGTTTATTGTCTGTAGTTACGCAATAAAACCCAGTGACTACCGTGTGATTCGTCTATGATTCACACTATAGCTGTTGACAAATCACTGGGGAAACATCGTGTGCAAGGAAAACGTGCAAAGATTGAAAAATAAATAATTTCTTGTTCTTGAATATTTTATCTAGCAAAGTTGTTGCATTTGTGATGTATATGGAAAAATATTAACATTATTCTTTTTTAATTTTTCAATCTTTAGCAGTAATCAAGCTGTAATGTGGCCATATTTTACATTTTAATATGATAAGAAAACAATGTTCCTTATTATTAATTGCTAGCCTTGCCTGGTGTAATTAAACTGTGCTCGAAAATAATGATCAAATAACATTATTCAGTGTTAATATATTAGGGTATTTTATATATTTATTTGTTAGATTAAAATTAAGAGAGTACTTTTTGATTTTTAAGCTATTGCATAGATTTTATTGCGGGTTTTGAGCGCGGCGACCGAATCAAAAAATTCCGTAACGAAAATAACCTGACAAGAGTGCATATGAACACAATTTTCGTCTTTCCAGTATCGATTTAAACAGCGCAGTGTGTTAAATTTTTGCCACGGAACCAACGTTCGACGCATCACCGCGGTCGTCGGTTCAAATCCCGCACTAGTATTTTTTATGTTTTATTATATATTTTTGTTTTAGACCCCATCACCTGTTCTTATTTTTATTTGTCTCCCTTTTATTTAGACTTTATAATTATAATTAAAATTTTTGGACTAAAGGTGGTAAACTGTGGAGCTTGTGGAAGTTTTTTATCGCCGGGCAATGCTGTTGTTTGCTGTGCTTGCCCAATACAATATCATAAGGGTCTGCCTCGCCATCTATTAATATCAAAGAAAAAAAATACTGCACAAATAAAATAAATAAAAAATTTATAAATGCATATAAATAATGCTATGCAATAGCTTAACCGCGGCAGTCCCCGAGTGCCACACGTATTTTTTTTTACTGAATAGGGATAAGTACTTCCGAATCATATCATTATTGACCTCGTTAAAAAAATACATGTTTTTTATATTTATTTACTAAATTAAATATCACTAGTCCTATCTAAGTAATAATAGATAAGAAGTTTCCAATTATTGAAAATAAAAATCCTAACACCGGCAAATTATAAGATGTAAAAGTATTCAATGAAATAATAAGTACAAGTTAAATTATTTAGTTTATTTATAAAGTACTAGCTGTGTCCCGCGGTGTTACCCGCGGTTTTTAGAGATATTTTCCCGCAGTAAAAAGTAGACTATGTGTTAATCCAGGATGCCAGCTACCTCCATACCAAATTTTATTAAAATCGCTCCAGCCGTTTAGACGTGAAGAAGTAACAAACATACACACTCACACACTCACAAACTTTCGCCTTTATAATATTAGTGTGATAGTAGTCTTCGTAAGAAACTTATGGGATCAATATTGTTGTGATGCTAATGTGATGATTAATACTTAGCTATACCTACATTAATACAAATGTAGCTTAATACTATATGTGACACATACGAAATGAGTAAGTGCCTACTGATTCGAGTATTTTATTGAATGTCGCCAATAATGAGATTATTATTAAGTAGGAAATATTTGTTTATATTGATATTTAAGTAATGTAATCTCACTAATATAAAGTTTGAATACATCTACATAACTTTTTATTTATGAAGCCTCTTTTAGAAAGATTTTAAAGAATTATGATAAAAAATTCGGTTGGTTTTGGCAACGTAATTGTTATTTAATCAATGCTTTTTGTAGCTTTTATATTTTCTTTTGTGAAGTGCAGTTTTACTAATACTGATACTTTACTTTCATCAACATCAGCCTATTAATGTCCCCACTGCTGGGGCACAGGCCTTCCCTATGGATGGAATAGGGAGATTGGGCCATGACCCACCACGCGGGCCCAGTGCGGATTGGTGGGTGCTAACGACTGCAGATGCAGCCGGGACCAACGGCTTAACGTGCCTTCCGAAGCACGGAGCAGCTCGAGATAGTAATTTTTGGTCACCCATCCAATGACCGACCACTGCGAAAGTTGCTTAAGTTAAACGATCGCAGCCGAACGCGCTAACCACTTGCGCCATCGAGCTCCTCAATACTTTACTTTGTCTAGCACAAATTCGGTCGTGCATGGGAGTATTCATTCTGACGTCAGAATGGCTGTCAACTTAAAAATTAGTTTATTTTGTTTTAATCGGGGGAAGCAACTATTTAACGATTAGTAGCAACTAGAAGCAACTAGGTAGCAACTTTCTATAATTATTTCGATGTAAAATATGGGTAGTGACCGGCCATTCTGACGCTCACCGGCCTAGCCGGGGCTCCATGGCAGGGCTTACCCGGGGTATTTCGGGGGAGCTCGCAGACGTGCGCAGGACTGCCCGCGCTGGGAGCAAAGTGTGCGGCCTGTTGCCCGCCACACTGCTCCCCGTCTGCTGCGGAAGGACTGCCTAGGCGTTCCCCTCGCAGGCCCTTTCGCGGCCCTGTCATGTAGGACAGAACTACAAGAGAGGGCTACTGTCACGGAATCCGTCGGTGACCGGTATAGCTAACGCCATGCCGGGCAACGAGGGAATCCCTCAGATCACTGGGTGGGCGCGGCCAGTGCGCGCCTTTGCCTTCTCCTAAGGTTCCTCCTGTTCCTAGGTCCATCTTAAGCCGCGCAGGAGTCAATTTATAATTCTATTCATTTTGAAGTGAATTTATCTGAATGATAGGTAAATAAAATGACAAATTTGTAAATCATTATTACCTATTTTATTAACCGACTAAAGTAAATAATACTGGTGGATACCTACATTGCATCACTTTCGTATTTAAATACGAACCTAAGTTTTCCCTCAATTTAAATACGAAAGTGATGGAATTTAGGTAGTATTATTTACTATAGTCGGTAATAAAATAGGTAATATTGGTTAAAACACGGTAGGTATACGCGTCGTAGGATCACACAATTGAAAAAAATATTATAACACAAAGTTACTTCAATGAGGAATAAATTGAAATAAAATATCTCTAATTTAATTTATTTATATATTTAATTGTTTTACAAGCACAAAAATACGACTATATCTTCTATGCGATGATACTTATACCAAACGCATTAACGGAGCTATCTAGATACCAAATAATTTACAAATGACAAAACAAACAGATATAGTTAAATCGGAAGTGGGCATAAACTTTTCACATACCATGCCAAAACTAAAAAAAAATATTTTAATAATACTAACATGGAGAAATTGCTCAAAATAAGAACCCATTATAACTAATTTTGTATAAATTGTTCATTATTTTTATAACGGGCATAATAAAGTACCTCAAAGGTATTTTTACATCCTGCTTAAAATTTCTGGCAAAAAGAACTAACTATTTAGTACAATTCAAATAAGTAGGCAACTAAAGGTACAAACTTTTCTTTATGTTCATAGTTAAATGTTTTTATAAATGACAACAGTTCATTTTGTACACATTCTTTTTTTATTAAAATCAATACACATCACTAAGGTGAGCCTAATATAACAACACAGACTACATTGGCTTCAAACCATGTTAATAAATATGGTAGGCAACTTTAAAATATAACTTTTGGTTTATCCAAGAGAGGTTTGACCATGAAGCTATATATCTAATGGGTTTGACTTAACTACGTGAGCGCTAATACGATATGACTGAATTTTGGTTATTATTTTAAAAATCCTATCCTACGTTGACAAAGGATAGCATATAAAACAGCAGACGACCTCCGTGGCCGATTCGTTTATACGCCGGGTTTCATGGTGTCGCCGACTGGAGAGGTCCCGGGTTCGAATCCTGGTGGGGGCAGATATTTGTGCGATGATTTGTACTCCAGTCATGGATGTTTAATATGTTTTTCTATATACATATACTTACATATGTACAATATATGTATTCTATTCGTTATGCTAGTATCCCATAACACAAGCCTTACAGTGCTTACTTTGGGGCTAGGCTAATTGGTGTGAGTGTTGAAAATATTTATTTTATTTATTTATTTAACTAGCAACGATATGTAACTGACGACCTCCGTGGCCGAGTGGTTTGTACGCCGGGTTTCATGGCGTCGCCGATTCGAGAGGTCCCGGGTTCGAATCCCGGTGGGGGCAGATATTTGTGTGATGAACACGAGCATTTGTACTCCAGTCATGGATGTTTAAATATGTATTTCTATATAAATATACTTCTATATGTAAAGTATGTGTATTCTATCCGTTACCCTAGTATCCCATAACACAAGCCTTATAGTGCTTACTTTGGGGCTAGGCTAATTGGTATGAGTGTTGGAAATATTTATTTATTTATTATTTATTAATTAGTTAATATACCTCCTGTCATTGATTTATACATACCAACGAAATTACATACCTACCACATTTACGTTATGCTCTATTATTTTTTGATAAGCACCGTCAAGATTTCTTGTCATATCGTACAAAAATGGCGAAATAATTTGTTGGAATAGACAATCAAAAATTTTTGCTATGTCTATACTGAAAATATGAATATTATAATAAAATATAAAGTTATATTAAAGCTGCTAGTTAGATATTATAGGCCATACTGTTAAATGTACATAGCCAGCCATTGTACATAGCTAATATAATTTAAATCAGACGCCATATGTTGTTTTTATTGTGAAAGCCTATCAGTTCAATTCGTTTTATAAAAGAATCAAGATCATCCTGTTATAGTTTTGCCATTGTTGGAAATCGATATAACTTTTATACAATTATTTATTTTGCTGTAGTTAAAGGCTGAAATGTTAAAAGTTCTACCCGAAAAAAATATTCAAAAGATCAACAGTAGCGCCGCCATTAATAAGGGACTTCTTTTTTGGAATGCTCTGTTACATTATTTTTCCAATTTTGGTACTCGTTTATTACGCTCACGTAGCTTACATTAACTCGAAATTGCAGACGACGATGATGCAACGTTTAAATCAGACAAGTACAGGAAAACGACAAACCATAAACCATTGACCCCACATTTTTGTACTGATAAGATCCTTTAGAAGATTCACCGGCTGCAGTTTCAAGGCGCGGCGGCATCGCCTGCTCGTGGTGCCACCATCACAAGGCTGTCGTCACTGGAATACCGTTTCATAGTGGCTGCACTCGCTTGGCTATTATTATGTAAGGAAAAGGAAAAAGATATATTTTATATTTAAAATTGAAAGGACGTGGGTAGATTTCGCCCAGAGAGCCAATGTCTGCATAGAACATGGGAATCAGAGTCTTTGATTAGGTAACTATTGTTTCTTTAATACATAAAAGACACGTCTCTTTCCTAGATGAGTAGGCAGAAACAAAGATAATTGACTTCTGCTTAAAAAAAACAACCCTGCAGGATCGTGCGATGCCTGACATACATTTTTCGCTTCTTCTTCATTTATTATTGTCGTGAAAGAAATGAAATGTAACGTGTCTACGTCCTAAAAACTAACTAGCACATTAATACAGGTCACAACCAACTGACACCAAAGTTCTTGCATCGGATAAAATATTTGCATGCACTTAAATCATAAAATCCACTAATTCAGGGTGAAAATAGCTCGGATCCTTTGTAATCCATATTTTTAGATTACTACGAACTACGGACTACGACGTAGCATTTAGAATGAAAAGTATGATTAAAAAGTAAATTATTTAATTCGTCTATACTTTCACAGAAAATACATTGAATAATATTTTTACAAGGTATTTTATTTTAGCTTGTAATTGCTTGATGTTTAAATCTAAAGAAAATGTAATTAGAAAAAAATCCACGCGGACCAGGCAGCAGACGGGACTCGAACCCGCACCCTTCGCAAGTTGGTCGCTTTAGCGACTTTAACTTCATGCTGTTACTTTTGTGTTTACCGCACATTAAGAAAATCTACCAATAAAATAGAAATAGAATCTCTATTTAGTGGGTGCTAACGACTGCATTGTGAAGGCCTATCAAAAGTATTTATTAATCTGGAACAACGGAACCAAAGCGCGATTCAGGAGACTACAGCGCCATCTCTTTACCATTGGTGTAGTAGAACCAAAAACCACATCTTTATTTTTTGTAATAAAGTAACAGTTATAGGTATTCATATTTATAATATCAAAAGTATTTATTAATCTGGAACAACGGAACCAAAGCGTGATTCAGGAGACTACAGCGCCATCTCTGGACCATTGCTGTAGTAGAACCAAAAACCACATCTTTATTTTTTGTAATAAAGTAACAGTTATAGGTATTCATATTTATAATATTTATCCACATGTTTCTAGTTTGCATATTCGGAATACGTGTTTGAGTTTCATACAAGTGCAAATCACATATGTTCTAATAAATTATATTCAGTTGCGATTTTAATTGAATATTTTGATTATTTATTTATTTTTTCAAATTAAAACTAAACTTTATTGACTGTGTCCTTTTCCAGACTTTTTATTAATTTATTGTAATTAATTATTTGCATGCAATTAAAAACTAATTTTAAACGATGCCAAAGAAGTATAACTTCTCACGCGCCTACATAAGTACACGCACCCATTTTTTATTTTTAATCTTGGTATCTTCAATACCGCCGACGCTTTTGCACCGTCTCATAATGTCGGAATATTTGATAACATGAAAAGTCACCAAGTGAGACAGAGTCAATTTATTTGAATAAGTAGGTACTTAATGTTTTTATTTAAAAGATACACATGTGATAGAAACGCTTAAGTATGCATGAGAGTCATTGTAAATTCCATGCTGCGATTTATGTTTAAGCTACTGCATACAAACACGTCTGAATTTCTTAAGGACACTTATTTTTTGGCACTAGCGCAATCTCAATGGGGATAATGTATTGAATTCTGTTTCATCAGATCAAGGATGACCACGTGTAAGTATTTAATTAAGGTTACAATGTAAGTTAGGTCAATAAATATTAATGACTAATTCCAATTGGTTTCAATAAGTTTTACCTATTGTGTTTTATGTATGCCTCAAGAATTTGGTAACTATTTTTCTCATCTGAATGTAACTTTTAATATTGTGAGGTTATATTAGGTACAAAAAAGGCTAATCTTAATTATATTCGAATCCTTATCGTCGTTCTCGCTTCCTCCAATTTGATTAGCGTGGCGTGCATAGCGCGCGTTTGCATTTCATATTTTCGTGCCTGCTCGCACATATAGATTGAAAGGTCATTATTTTCTTTGCTCCGTGTTGAGAATATTATACGATTTTGAAAGTTTTAGTAGTTTAGGAGATAATATAAAATTCATTTAGTTCTATTCGTCGACTATATAAAATTGGCAGTAGCTGCATTGTCAATGTCCGGCCATAAGATTGTGATATATGTGTATGTGTGTGTCATATCCTAGTCTCATAATTTGTTTTATCTAAATAATAATCACTCTTTATACAAAACCAATCAATGACGTTAATGTCGCAGGTTGACGAAAGCAATAAATCCCGTCTGTTGTTTTGGACACTGGTAGCAATGCCTTAGATCGCTAAATTAATTATACAATCACCAAAGTAAAGTTTATATATGATTAAACTAAAGGCGAAGAATAAAATTTCCATAGTGTAGGGTACCGCCCCATAGCAATATCATTTATTATCAATTTATTACCCAATGTATAGATTTACATCTTTGTCGTTCTCTTTTAAAGCGTTGAGCAGTTACAGGTCCCAGGATTTCTGGTCTACCCTTTACTGTTCTACAGTAAATGTTAGTGTAAAAAGCTCGAATAGTGAGTACAAACACCTATCAATCAGGCTGCTACCAGCTTAGTAGGTATTGCAAATGCTGCAATTATAACAATTATTTGCTAAATATTTTTTCTAAGAATACGTAAGTATAAATTAGCGAATATCGAAATCACTGTTTATCAAAAATGCTAAGTAACTTTTACAAATATAATCAAATGAATCTATTACTTAGACTATTTTTAAATCTTTTTCATCAATTAAGTAATATTATCCTTACATTTATACTAATATTATAAAGAGGCAAGAGTTGTACGTCTGTAACAAATAATCTCTTAGCCTATTAAACCGATTTCGAAAATTCATTCATAATAAGCTACATTATTTTTTTTATTTTCAACCATTGATCTCAATATCGTTGATTAATGATTTATCTAAGGCGTTTGACTGCGTTAGCCATGAAACATTGTTAAATAAAATGAAGCATTATGGTGTATCAAATATTTCACTAAGCCTGATACAGTGTTATCTTTCTGCTAGGATTCAGAAAATAGTTATAAATGAAGCTGAGTCTACAGGAGCACCCATTTCTATGGGCGCGCCCCAGGGTTCAATATTGGGCCCATTGCTTTTCCTTATTTATATTAAGGACCTTCCTCACTTTACAAGAGATTTGTGTGAGACAGTACTATTTGCTGATGACACCTCTTTAGTGTTTAAAGCTAGGAGAGGAAATGATTATTATGACGAAGTAAATTGTGCTCTCTCTGAAGTCCTTCACTGGTTTACGGTAAATAATTTAAAACTAAACTCTAGCAAAACAAAATGTGTTAAGTTTACTTTACCTAATGTGAGGCAGGTTAATACTAGTTTAAAAATAAATGACCAGCCTGTAGAGTTAGAGGATTCTACAAAGTTTCTGGGTATTACTTTAGACTCGCATCTGCAATGGGATCCTCATATTGATGCCTTATCAAGTAGACTGAGCTCTGCGGCTTTCATTGTTTAAAAGATGATTCTTAACCGATGTGGAAACGGCAAGATTGGTTTACTTTGGTTACTTTCATACCGTTATGTCATATGGCCTTTTGTTGTGGGGCTCAGCTGCTAATATAGAAAGTATTTTCGTACTGCAAAAGAGAGCTGTTCGCGCCATATATAATTTAAAGGCAAGAGAATCTCTTAGAGAAAAATTTAAAGAAATTAATAATTTAACACTGGCATCGCAATACATATATGAAAATATAATATATGTAAGAAAAAACTATGACGCATTTGCAAAAAAAAGTCAAACCCATAACTTTAACACGAGATTTAAGAACAAGCTTGCCGTTCCATGTTTCAGACTCCAAAAATCAAGAGGTTCAGTTCTGGGATGTAGTATTGCATTGTTTAACAAAGTTCCCCAAGATCTGATTGAGCTTCCACTAACCAAATTTAAATCTCAGATTAAGAATACTCTTATGAATAAGGGCTATTATAAAGTTAATGATTATCTAAATGATCGTAATGCATGGACATAGTGTTTCTTGTAATTTCTTATTTGATGGGTATGAGTCAGTTTTGTAACAGTAGTATGGTACCTATCTAATGCCGCTTCCTATATACTAAATATAAAATTTGTTGTAACTATATATCTATACCCTAAATAATGTAATGGAAGAAGTATGTCTGAAGTCATTTTTCAACTTGACGACGCTGTATATATCAATACAGGGAGAAAAAAACAGCCCTTGCTGAGTTTTTTGCCGGTTCTTCTCAGTACAAGGTCTTCCGCCGTAGTTTTGCGAACCGATGGCGTAGCTTCTAGACTTTCACAAGTGCTTGTAACAGCCTAGACTGAATAAATGACTTTTCATTTCATTTCAATTAATCTGCTCGATTTAAAAATCTAACGAAAAAGTTTATTTGAAAAAAATCCACTCTTACAACTTTTTGTAGGGGAAATTTTTCTAGTAATTTTTATTTATAACTACATTATATCCGAATGACATAGGCTATAGTCCACAGTAGTTGGTAGCTATTCGCAACCTCATTAAATTATTTATCTTTACAGAGGAGCCAAATGACGATGACCATGATGGTGAAGATGAATTGAATATTCAATATGAATGTGAATTTGATGAGGGAAGTAGAAACTCGAGCAACGAAGAGAATGGAGATGAATAACATAATAGATAATATTTTTTAAATCTTAATTTGTCAATTGTAACATCTTCAATCAAAATTTTAATAAAAAATAATACATACCTATTGCTTTAAATTTATTTGCTCTAAATATCTGTGAATGATTATACCTATATTTATTTAAAATTTTAATCAAGCTCAATAAATAATATAACCATCATTTCAATTATCTGTATTATATAGCCATGTAGTGTTCTCACTCGAATTAAAGCGCACGAATAACGCCCTCACGCTCGCAATCACAGGGAAACTTTGAGG